GGGTAATGGTCAACACCTGACCAATCTGCTAGCTGGATCCTTACCGAAAATTAGAGCCAGAGGCAAGACTAGATTGGGATGACCCACACTTTTTCAGCGTCCGAGTGGTTTTTTAGGTTTCTTTTTAATTTTATATATATTCATTTTTTACATTTTTTGGTGTGTTGTACTGTGTGGGTTGGGTGTTTAGGCCCACCCATATAAACCTATCTGTATCTTTATCTTTAATATATCAGCCCTTGGGCCCAGGTGGTTTTTGAGTTTCTCTTTGTTTAGGCCCACCCATGCTCTGATAGGGTTTTGTCTGATGGCGATTCCCGACGTTGAAACTATCGACTTCACTCCTTTTCTCCGTCGTCTCCCATGACGACGATTTCACGTACGCTTGCAGGTCTTTTCTCTCAGTCGACGACGATCACTCACAAGTGTCAAGTTAGTATGCAGGGTCACCGTCAGTCCCCTCGGGCAAGGGTTCAATCCCACCCGTGGTGCATGGGAGGTCGAATTATAGACACATGGCGCGGGGTTCTCATCATAGGCCCTGAGGGCATGGGAAATCGATATTTGGGCCTCTGCCAAATATTTGATATAATTTTTAAGCTCAAGAGCAAACCATTGACGAAGAGTCTTGTTTTTATAACAGAAGAATTATATGTGGTTCGAGTTTCGTCAATTTCACTATAATTTAACAATTGAAAAAATCTGTTAAAATTCAAGGATACCCTTTTAAAAGTTTAGTTTTACTAATGCATTTAATCAATCAAAAGCTTCAATATAAACAAGATATCAACAATTCATATTTTTCATTCCAAGTCATTTAAAACTCTTACAGCTTTGATGAATCAGATTCATGATAAAAAGTCCTTAAATATTTATGAGATTGTACATGCCTCTAATTCTAATGGTGTTAAATAGATTAAGTGGTTATCATGTTATTTTAGGAAACAGGAACAACCGACCTTTATCCCACTAAGTGGGGTTTTCGGCTATATAAATTCTTTTTCTCCATTGTGTCCTAATGAGTGTCATATTTTCATTTAGTTATAATAAATTAAGATTACTTTTTACATAACATGCCCAAGTCTTTTTAGGTCTACCTCTATCTTTCTTAGTATAATTCAAATTTAAAATATCTACTCTCCTAACAGGGCCATATGGTCGACGTTTAACGTGACCAAACCATCTAAGGCGACTCTCTTATTTTGTCTGTCACTGGAGCTACTCCAACCCTTTCACGGACATATTCTTTTTGCTTTTTTTTAATAAAATGTGAAAATCTACTCATGTAGAAAGCATTAAGTTGTACTTATGTTAATGTTTTATTGTTTTGAAGTCACTATGCTGCATTTGGTTGTTCTATGCTTTTTCTATGTGACTTAATAGAAGAAAGCATCCAAGGAAGGGGTAAATTAGATAGAAAACTAAGTATTCATTTGCTTTAATCCGGTTCATGTGGAAGTTAAGTGCTTGTGTTAACTCTAGAAGATATTTCTTTTTATTTCTTTTATTATTATCTTGAGATGACACACTCTGTCTAAAGGTCTTTGTTTGAGTAAATCTAAAACTGAATACTTGGAATGTAATTTCAGTAGTAGCTCTAATGATAGAGGTGTAACTATGGATGATCAAATCATTAAAACGTGTGAATGTTTTAGTTAACTCGGGTCTATTGTTCAGAGTGATGATGGTATAGATGTGGATGTTATGAGTAAATTTCAGATTGGTTGGTTGAAGTGGAGGAATGCGTCTAACCTATTGTGTGATAGAAAAGTATTGCTTAGACTTAGGAAAATTTTATAAGATGGTGGTTAAGATGGTGGTGAGACCTACAATGTTTTATGACGTACAATGCTTGCTTTTAAAAGAGAATCATAGAAGAAAGTTAAGTGTTGTTGAGATGGGAATGCTTAGGTGGATGAGTGGCTTGACATTTAGATACAAAATGTGAAACAAATCTATCCGTGAAAGAGTTGATTTAGCTTTAGTGGTAGACAAAATTAAATAGAGTCGTCTTGGATGGTTTGGTCATATTAAATGTCGACCATCTGATGATCTAGTTAGGAGAATAGATGTTATAGATTTGACTTATGTTAAGAAAGGCAGAGATAAAACTGAAAAGACTTTGGTATATTGTATAAAAATGATCTTAATCTATTTGAATTAAATGTAAATATAACACTCAATAAGACACAATAGAGAAAAAGGAATCATGTAACTGACCCTACTTAGTGGGATAAAAGCTTATTGTTTTGTTGTCTCCTAACCTGATTTTGTGGTAGCTTTTCTTTTTTAATCTTTTAAATATTTGATGTTCATATCTTGCTAGTCTATTATTGAAGTTGAATATTTATTGAGAGGTTTGATGGAGAAGTACAAGAGAATATTGAGGTTCTACATATGATTTTTGTTCATTTAGAAAACACTTATGATAAGGTTCCTAGAGAAGTATTTTGGTGTGTAGAAAAGAAACCTGTTGATATTGCTTATATCCAATGACGAGTGGTGCTCCGGCTATATCTCTTTATCCCCGCATCCATCCCTTCACGGCCGCAGCCCTCTTTTCTCGCTGCAACTGCCCAGGGCAGCCACAGTTGCTGTCCTTCCTGCAGCTCCCCCTCTTACCGAGGACGCCATCCCCTCTCCTTGCTGCAGGAACCTCCGGACAGCCCTTCCTTCCTGTCCTCCTGACCCTAACACCCCTCCAGCCAGTCGTTCTCCCTCCCCCAGCCAGTCACACAACAGCCAAATACTCACCTGCCTCCTGCTCCTGCTCCTGCTCCTGCTGTTCTTGCGGGTCAGCACCTCCCCACCAGCCAAACCCACCCCTTTCCCCTGCAGTTCAGCCAGCCCACTGCAGTCCCACCTTTCATCTTCCCAACCTACTGCTCAACACCAACCTCCCATGCATCATGCATAACCAACCGCCTTCCCCCATTAGGATATACACTTTAGTTGAATTTGTTTGTGTATGTTGTTGTATTTCCCTTTCAAGTGTGTTTGGTTGTGACTGTATATTTGTTTTCGTTAATAATATTTGCTTTCTTATTGTGGTTTGGCCGTTTGGGTTAACTCACAACCACTTAGTGGGATAAAGGCATTTTGTTGCTGTAAATATCTGATGTTCTAATCCTTCTGTTTTTTTTTTGCTTATTCTATAGTTATGTTCTGACTAAATCTTTTAACATTTGTCACTTTTATATGTATATAAATTCTGAGCAGTGTTCGTTTCTTATGTTTCTCAGGTTCTTGTTGGAATGGGTTTTAGAAGCATGAAAATAATAAAATTCAAATCTTTGAAGATTTATGCATTCGGCTTATGTGAGTAACTCTGGGACATGGCTTTCAGAATATTGTTTTCTTCTTTTTCTGCTAGCAGCACTAAGGAGTCTATTTGTGTTAGCCTGTATTTACATATTTGTTTTACAAAGAGAAACCTATTTTAGATTGCTTTTCTAATTAGTGATTGAAATTTTTTTTTGTATTATGTTTATAGATGTCCATTTTGGTTCCATCTGTAAGAAATTGGGCCATAAGTATGCTTCCGTTTCTGCCATTGAGCTAAAGGATTGCTCTGATTTTTATGAAGATCTTCTGCGGTATGCCTCATACTCATTTTTTAATAAATTCCAAAGCTGAGTTTTTTTCTTTTTTTATTTTTGCTTATTCCATTTGCCATAAAGATGAGTGTGACAACCCTACTGGCATAACTCTTACATTATGGCAGATTACATGAGATTTGGCTGGACAGAGAAGTTGATCTATCAACTAATAAACAACTTGTGATCTTAAAATATACATTATTCTGTGTTGGCACACAACCCAAAACCAATCAATGCATATTCGCAATGGAATAGATTTAATACCTCTTCACATTGAAACACATAGTATCTCATGTGTTACAAGTAACTATATATCATCGCACCTATAATAAACATTATGCAAATTGTTTAACAACATTATTATATAACACCTGTTAAGTAAGGACAAAAATAGTCCATCAACATATACCTCGTCAAGTAATCCTATGAGTCACCAAACTTTAGTGCTCGCTCTGTCTATTTCACTTGGTTCACGTCTAAAAAATGTCATAAATAGCTAGAATAGGCATAAAACTTAATATATAACACAATCTAATATTGCAAGAATTCAGTGTAAAGAACATCCTTAAAGATAAGTTATAGCAATTCATCGTATTCGTTACAGTCATTGCCCATTATTAAGTCAATCATTTAGGTTTATCGACAAGCAATGACATGATTCAATTATATAGGTCGTATTGGTTCTAGACGCATCATCTATTCTCCATCACTCATTTAGGATTATTACCTTATGGCTGTTGGCCATCCACGTCAGTACAAAACCACTCTCAATAAGTCATAGGGGAATTTACATACATGCCACGCAATTCTTACGTATTTACATATCTAACAACTAAAGTTTGATATTTACACTCAGAACACCATGGTGTCATAAACTTATGCATTTGTATTTCATTTTTAAAATGGTAGTTATATTGTATGAATGTGTCGGCGTTGGATATGCAAATACATAAGAATTGTCTGGTATGTATGTAAACTAAGTCATATTATATTATCTTTAAACTCCCATGCAAGGAGCCAACTGCCTTACCCCTTCTTACTGATTCAGACAGTTCAGTCAACTTTTCTACTTGCAGAGAACTTGCTTACTAACCAATAAGTCTGTTTTTGATATTCGGGGCCATTATTCCTATGTCCTTAGCTTGTTACCTTTTTTCCTTTCCATTCATATTATAAATTATGCAATCTCTCATGTCATTACCATGATGCATATTTACGAAATTCATGACATATGTATAACAACCCGTTCATATAACATTATCATGTTAATCAAATAATAGCGTAAATAGTCATATAAGATCATGTGTGAAGCCAGCTAAAAGAGTTATGTTTCAGATAAGATGTTAATAAGCATTTCATGTGCTAGAACTCATGTAATCATGCAAAAGTAGAAAACCATTGGCTTGGTTAAATCAAAAGTTACTTGCCCAAACTAAGTTGAATTTTTTACAAAGCTTTTAATATGGTTCCGCTTGGGGTTGTTATAGATTTCTGTAGAACTATTTAGGGGAAACTAGATTTTTTAAAAGTTGTTATGACCATTTTAGATATTTCCTTCTTTAAAAAGACAGAACAGTGTTTTTACAATTACAACTGTGGTCTTGAACCCCAGTCGGACAAGGAAGGGGACATCCGCCCCAAACTGAACAGGGAGCCCAGTTGGCCTGGTTTAGGAACTTCCTGCCCTGCTAACTAGGCCTCTTTTGCCCAATTCTCCAGTTAACTATTTGCTTGCGATAACACTAGGAAACCTACATGACTAATGGACTATGACTTGGTTTTTTTGCTATTGTTCTGACTTTCTTTAGGACGTACTTCTGTAATATTTGTATGGATGCATTGTTTGGTTTCAGGTTTGTGCCTTATTTTGGTATATGTTGGTTATTTAAGGTTTACAGGATGATCTTAAAACCGTTGTCTGACATCAATGCAGGGAAGATGTCGGTTTAACTGTTAGGCTGGTTGTCAATTGCAGCGGACTAAAAATTAATTCTGTGCGGGAGTGAGTAGCTTTTCTCTTTTTTTGGTTTTGTATCAGCTTTGTCACAATTTTTAGATGCAGCGTTTAATATGTTTCAATATATTTATCAAGTGTAGTCATATGATTTGGACGATAATATGTTGGCTGATTGCTTCATTTCTAGTCTCATGAGTTTTATTTTTTGGGGCCTGCTCTTAAGGCATGATTGAGAAAAATCTTTTGTCTAATCTATAATCCCGTTTTATTCTTTTTCACGTTTTTTGAAACTACTGTTTTTGCTTCTGCTGTTTCTTGCCATCATCATTATAGGTGTTAAAAATGTCAACCGATCCGAACCTATTTCAAAAAATTTGGGTTCTAATTGACCAACTTAATATGCAACTCGGGTTCCGGTTAGAACTGCAGATCCTACGCAGTTTATCCTTTTGATGTTTTCTGCCTTGTTGCTGAAACGTTTCTCTATACAATATAACCAGTCCTATTGTTGTAGTGTAAAGCATTTCAATCAGTTTCTGCATTTTTTTTGGAGCATTTACGTACATACCCCCCAATTCTTATGTATTTACATATATACACTTAAAATACCGCCTAGATCATTCATATCACATAAAAAATACTATTATGTTGACTTTTACGAAGTGAAATACATCTTCTCATGCATATGTAAGGTGGCATATATGTAAAATTTGAAGTTTAGGCGTTAGATATGTAAATACATAAGAATTGAGTGGTATGTATGTAAATTTTCTTTTTTATTTACATCTTTGACTACTCATTTTTATGTGTAACTAAGACAATATCCATTTTGACCCGTCACAACATGAGCAATAGTTTTTTTTTTTTTTTCTCCGTTGGTTGATGAGAATTTTCTACATTTTACTCGTAGTAGAATTTATCTTGGTTATATTATAATGTCTAGCTTCAATGTTAAGTCCTAGCAACTCATTTCAATGACTTTGAGTTATTACATGTTTCAGCGCCTTTGAGAAGTCACTGCGCGCTAGATTGCTGAAGGTATCAATCGGCAACTCTTACCATAAATTGTTTCTAGAGGTGATGAAATGAGTTGGTGATAAACTTGGTCTTTCTATTTTAATCAGATGAATCCTAATACAGATTATGAATGCTTGAGCGTTTTTGGTTCTTATTTCATGGAAGATATCCCTCTACCAATAGTAAGTTTTTTAGGTTCCTAATTGCAACTGCTATTTCTTAATTAGAACTGCAGTGATGAATTAATATTTAATATTTCAGGGCACAACAATTGATTTTAGACGAACCACCGATGGTCGACTGATAACAGAAAGTGCGTAGTTCTTATTTTCACATAACACCGTCTCTTCTTTTTATTAGATTGTTAATATCTGTTTTTCAAAGATTAATATTACTTTTATCTTCAGTTGGTGGTAGGCATATTGGTGCTGTTCAGAGCAAAGATTTATGCAGTAAGTTGTTTACCTCTTTGTTCTTGATTCATAGTGTTTTAGTTCAAATATGAAAACTGCAATTATTGAATAGATCTACTTGCACACAGAAATACAAAAAAAAAATTTAGTATGCGAGGATGAACACCGCCTCAGACGGGTTACAACCACCTTCCTCGTCATCAGATACAGTTCTTGAGAGAGAAAATATTCAGGCAAAGCAGAAATCAGATTTCAAAGCCAAGGCCCCCTTTACCCTAGGCACAAGACTTCTATTTATAAAAGAAACTTGACTTAATTGGAAACACTAAAAGTAGAAATAGAATAAAATCAGACCTCAGAAAATATAGCAAGAAATAAAAAGATATTAGATTTAATGCAAAGGGTTTGAATTAAGGAAAGAATAAAATTAGGATCTAGGAGGGCCCCCCTCCAAGGTCTGGCCGGTCCCTCCACATAGCCCCGCGTAAGTCAACCTTATCCGAACACACGCACCCCATTTGCTACCCTCCATGCACCATTTCATCCATTTTTGGAGTTGTAAACTAATGTGAACTATTTAATCTTTCACTGCACAGCCCCCCAATTCAGGCTTCTTGAAGTCAGTATGATTGCTGTAAAAGAATATTTCTTATGTTATTCAAATTTTTTGTTATTTCGAGATAAAATCATTCTCAAAAACTGATTCCTTTGAATCATCTGCAGGGGCTTTCTTTGACATGTACATTGGTGATGTTCCTGTCTCCCACCAAGTTAAGCAAGATATGGCAGAGAATATTGCCAGACTCATAAGGAAATGCTAGACAAAATAAACCATCTAATTGATGGATTCTGGCGCTTTCTAAGCCAATGGGGTCCTATAAGGATAATATAATATTATTCTGGAGGATCCAGATTGTGAGGTCCATTTATATACCAGATTTAGTTCTATAGAGAAAAAAAAATGATCAGATTGAAGCATTTTAAAGGCAGTTGTTAAGGATGAAGTTCGGGCGTTACCAGAAGAAATTCAACCGTGTTCATTCTCATTCTTTAGTGAGTTCTATTAGCTGCTGTTGATTTTAGAGGGCTGGGACTTGCCAAAAGCTTTATATTTTGAATGATTTGGATTTATTATGGCTCCTGTAAGAATGATGGCATTCTTTGTACAATGAATAATGAGTTAGTATTGATTCTTTTGATGTGTAAAATATAATCTATGGATGCATTCTAATATCTATAGTTAGTTTCAATGTTAATTTACTAAGTATATAATCATTTATGTTTCCTTTTTCTTACAGTAACTTGATTTGTAATTATTTTTCTATTTATTAGCAACCCTTGTAAGGAACTGCGATGCACGTGGAATCTCTTATAAAACTAGGCACATTTACACTGAAGGCATAATTTATATGGCAGCATTTATCTGATCATTTTTACTAAATATCTTTAATAATTCTCCAGTTCTCAACAGAAGTTTTATTTAGATAAAAAAGCTTAAATTTTTATGCATATGCTATTAGGGGTGTAAACGACCCGAACATGAGCGAGCTCGCTCGTGTTCGGCTCGTTTATATTTCGAGCTCAAAAAGTATGTTTGTGTTCGGTTCGTTTGCTTAACGAGCTGAACACGAGCTGTTCACGAACAAAGAGTCCTTTTAACAACTCTAATCATGTAGCCATAAGACAATAAGGGTTTGAGCAAGATTTAAAAATTATTATTTTATTTTTTTAATCAATATTTTAATTGGTTATAAATCTTTGTAGTCTTGTTGTCAATTAATTTTTTTTAAAATACTACTTAATATATACTTAATATATATATATATATATATATAAACTTGATGAGTAATATTTCGAGCCGAACACGAACAAATACATCTTAGTTCGTGTTCGGCTCGTTAATTTATCGAACGAAATTAACGAGCCGAACACGAGCTTCTTAACGAGTCGAACACGAGTTGTTCGCAAACGAGCAATTTTGACAGCCCTATCTGCTATTAAGTTGAATTATCTATAAATATTGTTATCTTGTTACTTTCGGGTGGGCAAGCCATGAATGTAGGATGATGCATTAGACCATTGATGAGACATCTTTGGTTTCTGGCTCTTGAATTACAATTTGAAGCATAGTGGCATTTACATAGAACTCATTTCTTGTTATATTAATTATTCATTTGAATAGTTAAATTCATCTTTTTATTCATAAGGTCATGCCTGTAAACATGAAAGTTTAGCTGTGAGATACATAAATTCATATGAATAAAAAGAATCTAACCAAATCAAATTCATTTGATTGATTCAATTTGTTCAGTTTTTATATCCATTAAATTAAAGAAATTCAAATTTTGAATGATATTAGTTTAGAAAATTAAATACATTTGAAAGGAAAAAATTATATGATAATTTTACTTTAAATTAGATTGAATTTTCAGTTGTAAAGAGACACTTGAAAATTAATTAAAAACTCAATTTTGAATCAAACGAATCCATATCCATCGCCTGCCCAGACAACAATGGTTGACATTTAACTAAGCTACCATCATAGCGAAATTTCAATAAAACCCTCCAAAAAGCAGAAATTTTTACAACTTCCCAATACAAACATTGCACTCTCATCATTTCTTAATTTGCTCGCAAAGTTCCTGAATTTCACTCTCATTACGCATGGAAAAGGAATCCTAACGCCACGAAAGAGTTCTAGCTCTCCAACATGTTTTTTGCAGAAAAACTCCCCCAATTTCACAGAAACCCCCCCAGAAAAACAGAAATTTGACATCTGAACGCTGAATTCTTCTGTTCAGTCACTCATTCTTGTGAGAAATTACCTCACCAAACTTGAGGAAGAGCTGGGCATCAGATGTGCTAAGAGAAGTGGTAAGAGCAGCAGTGTTTTTGAGTTCTGAATACCCATTCATGTAGCTTGGTATTGTTGATAGAAGTGGAGGAGAATGGAGAAGATGCTTTGTTGATGAAGGCAAGCATGGCTTGGCCAGAAAGTTAAGCAGACGAACCACCTCGTGCATTGCCGGCCGTTCCGACGGCTGCTTCTTCGTGCAGAGGAGAGCCAGCTGAAACATTTTCTTTACTGTGCCGAGATCACCGCAGGTGTCCGAAATCTCGGGTTCGAGGCTCTCCATAACTGCATTGTTTGCTGCCTTCGAGAGAATCTGTTGCACAACATCAACAAAATACAAATGGGCAAATTATTACATTGATATTAATTTCAATGAGAAATTAATTTATGAAATAAGATTAGACAAATTATATCTGTACTACGCTAAATGTAATTTTCCTAGCCTTCGGTTACCTTTTCTAACATAAATCAAATCCGATTATTATGTGAAAATGAATTTTAGCTTAGGAAGAAAGTGAAAGGAGTGGATTGATGACAAACACCATAAATGAATTTAATAGATTTAATTTTAAATTGAACCAAATATTAATATGGATTTAGAGCATTTGGATTACTGGATTTACAAAATCCACTTAGCCTGAATCTTACAGGCAGCGAAACATAAGCCTTTACATTACAAGCAAAGAATCCAAACCATGTGCTTGTCCCTAAATTTACATACATATCACACAGTTCTTATATAATTACATATCTAACACCCAAAGTTTGTCATTTGTACATATAACATGTTGTCATAAACCTATGCATGAGAAGGTGTATTTCATTTTCAAGAAACATAGAGATGTAATGATAAAGTTTTGATTGGTATGCGTTATGTAAATACTTAAAAATTGTGTGATATATGTTACACCTAAACTTTACTTTTCACAATAATAACACAAAATTTTCACGTCACATAAAAAATACAATCATTTTAACATTTAAAAAAGTGAAATGCACCTTTTCATGCATATATCTAAGATGATATGCATGCAAAAATTGAAGTTTGGGTGTAACATATGTAAATACATAAGAATTGAGTTGTATACATGTAAATCATTTTAAAATAAAAACAGGATTAATCAACAGATGTTAAATCATTACCAGCTGATGCAGGTTACATTCATCGTCCACCGCCTTCTTGCCGGTGAGGAGTTCCAGCAGTACAATGCCATAACTATAGACATCAGACTTCTCATTGAGTCGAGAAGTTCGAGCATATTCGGGGTCAATGTAGCCGATAGTTCCCATCACATACGTGGATGTATGGGCTTTGTTCACGCAAAGGAATTTTGCGATACCAAAATCAGTCAAATGGGCCTCAAAATCTTTGTCCAAAAGTATGTTAGAGGACTTCACATCTCTATGAACGATCCGCGGGCTGCAGTCGTGGTGTAAGTAAGCCAGCCCTTCTGCTGCTCCCAGGGCAATTTTTAGTCGAGTTTCCCAATCGAGCTTTTTCTTTTTCAAAGGACCTTTTTTCAAGAAACAAGAAAACAAATTTAGCTGGTTTTGATTAGTAAAACTATTCAGAATCATCTAAAAGTAGGCATTTAATGATTGGGAAAATTTACATACCTAGCACACAATTCTTATGCATTTACATATCTCACACCTACACTTTCATAATTAATTAGGTAGCATTATCGTGCTATAAAACTATGCATGAAAAGGTGTACTTCACTCTTTAAAAATGATAATGATGCTAGTGTTATTGTGATATTGAAGATTTGAGCGTTGTGTGTGTAAAAAAGAAAGTATAGGTGTGAGACATTTAAATACATTAGTACTGTGCACATAAAAAACACATTTTGAATAAACAAAATGACCTTGAATGCACTCATCCAACAAATATAAAAAGACTTTATCCTTGGCTACATTAATCCTTTTTCTCTGTTTAGGGTTTCCTATTCAGTGTCATATTTCCATTTAATTCTAATAAATTAAGATTATTTCTTATACAATATGCCCGAGTCTTTTTAGGCCTACCTCTTCTTTTCTTAGCATAAGTCAAATCTAAAACATCTACTCTCCTAACAGGGTTATCAGATGATCAACGTTTTCAGATGATCGATGTTGAATGTGACCAAACCATCTGCGAGTGCCACTGGAGCTACTACAACCCTTTAATGAATATATCCACTTCACATTTTGAAAAAGCAACAATCTTGAATGCGCTCAAACGACGCATAAAAATAACATCTAGACATTTGAGGGGTTTATGTTGATGCATAAAACTCATGTTGACCAGTCAATAAATCAAGGGGCATTCATATACATAACACCCAATTCCTATGGATTTACATATCTAAACTTATTTACATTTATTCCACACAAATCTTTCATAAAAAATAAAAATAAATACATCATGCATAAGTAAGCCAACATAAAAATTGAAGTTTAGGTGTTATATATGTAAATATATTACATAGGAATTAAGTGGCATGTAATAAATCTTCCTAAAATCAAATAAAATTTCACCATATTCTGAAATATATTACCATGGAGAAGATCCCAAAGGCTTCCATTCTCCATGAAATCATAAAATAGAAGATTTCCAAATGGCGAGAGAGAATATCCCTGTAAACTGACAAGATTTCGGTGTTTAATGCTTCCAAGTGTCTCCAACTCTGTGTCAAACTCCTTCAGGCAATGAGGATAGTGCGAGTAAATCCTCTTAATGGCAACAGGCCTGCAGTTCTTAAGCACACACTTGTACACAGTACTCGAAGCACCATATCCAATGATATATTTCTCGCTCAAGTTCTCCGTCATCCTCATTATGTCATCGTATACATGAAGCGCCATGTTCATGTGTAAGATCACAAGCTTAGGCGACACGTTCGTAACTGCAGGAAGAACAAACATGGGCGGAGTAATGGAAATAACTCGTTCTGGTTATATGATCATAAGATGCCATATAAAAATTACTTGGCTTTTGTGGATAATCCGGAAAAGTTGGGGGTTTGTGTGGTCTGCATGCTGCTACTAGTATCATCAGAAGAATGAGTAGAGCACCCAAAGCAATTCCAAAAATGGCAGCTTTTGACATTGTAGCTGTAGACATAAAATATTAATAGAGAAATTACATTGAGAACCAATTTCAAGCTTGTTGCTGGCACTAATTAAGTTTAAATGTAAGGACTTGAAAATGTAATAAAAAATTTGACCTTGTTTTGCTCTTCCAGATGGATTGGATGAATCACATTGAGAACCAAGCCAATAACCACCACACAGACCAGGGTTGCCTATAAAGCTATAATCAACATAAACAAACAAATTAATAAATGATCAACAAGAGCCCACTCAAATTAAAAAAAATAATAATAATAATCAAAAACCAAATTTGTTGTAGGAAGAAATCACAACCATTCAGGGGAGAAGCGCGAGAAATTGTTGATGATTGGTATATCACCAACAAATTTGTTGTACGAAACATTGCTGCTCGCAATTGTTAATACAATTAAAACTATTTGATAAAAACTAATTAGGAATTTTGAAAACCAAAATCTTATTTACTTACAGGACAGAAAGACTTGGGCAGTTGGTTAAGCACATTATGCTGCCGGATAAATTGTTGTTTTCTATTTTTCTGCCGAGAGAGAGAATTCAAGGATGATATTACATACAATTACCTAATAATTGTTTCACTTATTTCAGCATAAAGGAAGAGACTTACAACAGAATGAGGTTTTGAAGCAATCCAAATTCCTGGGGGATCCAACCTGAGAGATGATTTCTAGATAAATCACTGCAATAATTTTGAAGGCAACAAGAATTAGAAGAGGAGCAATAAGCATATAAAAATTAATGAATAAAATAAAGAGACATTTAAATACCACACAATTCATATGAGTTTATATATCTACCACAAAAAGTTCAATTTTTCACATTGAAAACACTCAAATCTTTAATATCACAACAAAATGCTTTATGCATAGGTAGTGTGTTATTTAGGTGTTGAGTGTAAAAATACATAGAAATTGTGGGGTATGTATGTGAAACTACCTAAAATAAAACTCGTATAAATGGTTGATTTTCAATAGATTGCTTACATCTCCATGACACTCCTCAAGTTTCCAAACTCAGGAGGAAGGTAACCAAATAGATGATTATTGCTCAAATTCCTAAATCAGATCAAGAAAAACATTAGAAAAGAGAAGAAAAGCCATGAAAAATAGGGTTATAGAACCCACAGCTTAAGAAGATGTTCAAGATCACCAATGGAGGAATGAATAGGACCACTGATCATGTTAGATGATATATCACTGCATAAATATAAATAATATCAGAAAAAACTGAACAATTATCATCATTTTTTCAAAGACCACCCTTCAAAATTCATTAAGTCTTACAGTGTATCTAAATTTCCTATTCGTGAAAGCTCGACAGGAATCGGACCTTTCAAATTGTTCGCAGATAGATTCCTGTCATTAACATATAATCACTATGACAAATGCAAAATTACAGAATACATATGTGAAAATTGAAAACATTTTATATTAACTTACAAGTATGTCATACTATCAAGGTTCTTAAATGAACGCGGAATGGTGCCATTCAACTTGTTTCCGTGGGCATTACTGTAAAAAGATGTATTAGTTAATACAGTTACCTACAAGAAAGAGTGCAATTAAAAGAGAATACTCACAGGCTGTTAAGATTCACACATGAGCTCAAATGATCAGGAATAATCCCTTCAAGGTAATTGTTCGCAATATTCCTAAGACATTTATTACATTATTCGATTTCCATTCTCGACGCTAAGGCAATGAAAGGATAATTCTATTTACAGAAAAAAAAAATATTCAATTTTAGCAAGAGCTTACAAGTCAAATAAATCAGTTAGCTTCCCAAGCTCAGGTGGAATACTCCCTGAAAGCTGATTGTCATTCAATTCCCTGCATGGCTGTAAACTCTAAGATGCAAACTTATAAAAAAATTTCAAAAATGAAACTTTGCAAAATTACCGCTTACAAGTAATGAAGCATCGTCATGTTACCAAGCTCAGGTGGTATAGGTCCAGTTAATCTATTGCCCTGCAAATACCTAAACAACCCACATAAGATTCAGTTTAGTAAAAAAAACAAAAAAAAAATGATTATAAGCACATAGAATAGGTTCAATGTAGAAAGAAGCAAAATCAAAACCTTTTAATAAAATTATAGCATGGAAACTTCTAATAATAGCAAAAAGTTACTTGATATAATTGTAAACTTACAGCTTTTCTGTATAGGTTAAGTTCCCCAAAATTGGAGGGATTGGTCCACTTAGAAGGTTACAACTCAGGTCTCTGAAGCATAAAAATGTATTTAGAATAATTTTCATCGTTAACAGATTCATAAAATTATAAGCAAGCAAGAAAATCAAGTAAATTAGCACAGGCTAACACGAAGCCTCGAAATCTTCGAGAGCAAAAGACATGGAAGCTTCTTCCTTGAATGTGAAAAAAGAAAAAGGTAATTGAATAAACACCACCAATTCTTATGTATTTACATATCTAACAACTAATTTTTAGGTTCAACATTTATACCCCCAAATATTTTACCTTTATTTTAACTTTTAAATAGTGAAATACAACTTTACATGTATAGGAAGGTGGCATATATGCAAACATTATAGTTAGAAGCCAGATATGCAAATACATAGGATTTGAGTAGTATACATGTAAGTCTTCCAAAAATCAAAGAATTATATGACTTACAATACAGCAAGAGCCTGCATAAGTCCAATAACAGGAGGAATAGACCCTGTAAACTTGTTGTTTTGCAACGATCTGGTATGAAATTTCGGGTAAATATGTTAACAAATATCTGCAAATCTAACAAGAAGGAAACATGAGATTCATTTGACAATCACATACAGTGTAGCAACTTGCAAAAAACCTATATTGAAGGGAATTTCTCCAGAGAACTGATTGTACGACAGATCCCTATATCAATTATGCATATATGGAGTAAGATTATAGTTATACAGTTCATTAAAAGTATGGGGAAAAAAAAGTAGGTTCGGTGCCCTTACAAAACTTGAAAACTTGTACAGTTTCCAATGCTTTCAGGTATAGTCCCCTTCAAACTATTGTTTTTGACATCACTGAATAATAAATATATAAATTTTGTTAATAAATAACTATTATATTCAAACCATGGTTTGGTTACTCTAATCACACACAGCCTTAGGAGTCAGCAACTTACAAATACCAAAGCCCGGTTAACTGACACAAATCCGGAGATAGGCTTCCCTCCAAATTGTTTCCTCTCAACCCCCTGAAAAAAAATAATAAAAATAAAAAACAATTTAAAGAATTCATTGCTGCACACAACCATAAATTTGCCATGCTGCACAAATTTGTAACTTCTTTCAATATTCTAATGCTGGTAGGATCACTCACAGGTATTGCAATACTTCATTCCAGTAAAGAAGCCTGGGTATCTCCCCACTCAACTTGTTCTGAGCCAAGTCCCTGGAACAATAAAGAAGAAGATGGTCAACATTAAGAGAACTGATCCGAATAAAGAAAAATTGCAGTAAAATACATACAAAATTTTCAAATTAGGAATCTGTGAGAGCGTTGATGGAATGGGACCGGTGAACTGATTGCTTTTCAACACCCTGAAATATGGACAACAAGCTTTAATGTTCTACAGAATTGAATTGAAGAAGAATTCCTAGTATCTTAATTCATGAAACTTACAAGTTTTCTAACTTTTTCAATTTTGATATTGAATATGGTATATCCCCATGGATATTGTTAAATGATAAATCTCTAATACAAAGAAAAATGAAAAAATGTCAGCTACAACAGTAAGCTAAAATTATAATGTATCTGTCGCAACAAAATGTAAATGAAGACTCACAGTATTTCTAGCAAGGAACAATCACCAATCTCATCAGGTATTTGTCCAGAAAGTTGGTTTGATTTAAGGTCACTAATCAATTATACAAAATGAATCAGGCTATAAATAAAGTCCAGCAAACCCAAGAAATTACATATAATTTGGTTAAATTATGGATAAAACTTTACAGTGTGACAAGACTTCTGAGATTTCCTATCTCTGGAGAGATCTCTCCATCGAGATGTAAACCCGATAAATTGCTGAATTAAGGAAAAAGAAAAAACATCGAAGAATTAAAAAACCTTATCACAAATCATATTGCAATTTCAGGTTATGATAAAGAGAGTTTTCTCACAGTGAGATGACTGTGAAGGTCAAGTTGTCACAAGTTATCCCTCTCCAGAAACAATAATCTGAGGAAGCAGCATCAGTCCAGTCATAGAGGACATCACCAACATTGTGAAATGACTTCTTGATTTCTAAAAGTGTCAAACCTGAAAAGGAATGGGTTCCAAAGCCATAAGCATAAAAATACATCATTCAAGCTATATCCAAAAAACTCGAGAGTGCGCCTCCAACAAGCTACACAATACCAACTAGATTTGCGACCAAAGAGAACCATTAGGCTTGCCATTAAAAACAAAAATCCTTCAAGAAGCAAACAAAGAATATCCATTGCAAAAACTCAAATGACTAAAGAGAAAATTATGAATGAAAGTATGAAATGATACTTTGATATGTTCAAAATAACTAAATGCTTAAGCCTACATCTCAGAACTTCATTCTATAAAATAATCATGTTATAGAAATTATATTTCCATAAAAATTCTCATTAATTTGTATGTCATTGTCGGCGATAAAAAGTTGGGGTGTGTTGCCCGTAAGAAGTTGTCGGTCGCCGGAATCGAAATCTCGTCGCCCGCTTCAGAAGGACGTTTTAATTTACATATAGATTTAAGTTTAGAAAAATATGAAATCAAACTGACCCCATAATTTTCACAGTTTAAATAAAAGAACACTTTACCTCAAACTCTGTATCTATCCCGAGGGATAAACACAAGACTTGAGGATGAGACTTGATCAAATAAACTAAGAAATATTTGACATACGTTTGGTCTGCGAAACCGTTTTATTTGCTGACAAATTTTCCTATTTAATATAAAAAATTAAATAGGGTGTATTTTAAGCTGGGTTCGGAAAATCTTCCTATAAGGGCAAACCTCTATAGTTAATTACATCTTAAATGATTACATCTTAAATGACCGAAGTCACTTAAGAATACTCTCGATAAAAATCAGGAAAAATTATCTTCAAGGACTTCAAAATGTGGGACTTTTCAACGAAATCGGACAAAGAAATGTGAAAGGGGAATGACTCAAATTTGAAACATTTATTACAGAATCCAAAGGAAGAAAACATTGAGGATGTCACAGACCAGAGGAGATCCTCGGTGACTTCTCAGTCTACCCTATGGTTTGGCTTCAGTTTCGAGGAAAAATTATTCAAGTGTTTCATCTTGCCAATTTTTGCCAATTTTATCAATTTTATTTAATTAGGGCTTACATTCATATGAAACGATCACAGAGAATTTAGGTCGTGACGAACGACAACTTCGGAATCCTAAAACGAGTTAGGGCTTAGATTGTACAGTAGAGCTGTACAAATGCCTAAAAGAAAAGTTGAGGATTTATGTCGCACCACGCGAACGACCTCGAAATCCTATAAATTGTTGTTTAATTTTAAGGAAGGAATGATTTAGCTGGGGAATATATGTTCTGCTGTTGAAGATAGTCATGCTGCCCACCGCGCTAGTTCCAAACTCCTTGTCGTGACCAGTTTAAGTTTTCTAAGATCCTTGAAGTAATCACTTCCCTGCTGTACCTTTTACTTTTCTTTACACCGCAAGTTGTACCGCTTTCTTTACTGCATACTCTACTGCTTGTCTTGTGCTACATACTCTACTGTTATGCTATACACTGTACAACTTCAACATGTTTCTTATAAAATATCTTATAAAATATCTGAATATAAAATATCTGAAAAACTCATGACGAAAAGACCTGAAAAAGAAGGCCCTAAGATCCTTGAATCAATCCGAAAGGATATCATTTTTTTAATTTTATAAGTGGATCAACCCAAGTCAATGTGACGATCGCACACATGGCTCTACCATTAACTACATATCCACACATATCCGAGCCTGCACTCAAACGATATCACAACTTTAATGTCAAACTCTCGAAACATCCTTTATGAATTCAATTTAATTCAACCATATGCTCCCCTGAAAATGAATTTTTAAATTCCACAACTAGAAGGAAAGTATCCCGGAGACAGCAGTCATTTATACTTTCAAAATCATGCCAAAATCAAAGTCATCCAATTCCAAATGTAATCAAAAGCTTCATGTTAAATAAGCATAAAAACATCTTGCTAAAATCACATAAATGCTCACAGCCAAGCTGAATACAAAGAGATGAACAGCAGTTAAGGCTTTCGGCCAAGGCAACCCACAAGGGAGGCAACTACTAAGGCTCACGGTTCAGGGCAGCAAGGAACAGCTGCTAAGGCCGACGACCAAGGCCACCAAAAAGTAAAAGGGGAAGCTGCCAAAGCTCACGGCCGAGGCAACCAACAGGAAGGACCACCACTAACAGCCACTAACGCTCTCGACCAAAGCGACAAAAGGAACCAACAAATAAGGCTCAAAACCCAGGCAACCAAAGAAATACCATTAGCTATTTTACCGCGCTCCCTCGATATACATAAGATGATAAATAAAATGATTATAATTTTTTGGATGACAAACTTGATTCATCAACAAAATTCAAGCTAATCAAGCTCAACAAGAAGAGCCAAACAATCCTGAATGACCCACCAACAGGCTCACAGGTAGGGCAAGGCACGGGCCAGTTCCACTATAAGCTCTCGGGTAGGAGTAGAAAAAGGGGCACAAAACAGGCTCTCAACAAGCTCTCGGGTAATAGCCAGAACAAACGAGATCAAGCCCCTCCTCCAAACCACTTCTCGGGTAAGAGCCAAAGCAAGTAAATTCGAGCTCCAAGGAAAGCTAAAACCGAGTCATTCAAGGCCAAAACAGGGTCAAAGCAAGCAAAACCGAGCCCACCCTCCAAACCAGCTCTCGGGTAAGGTCCAGAAAAGGCAAAGCCAAACCAAGCCAAACCAAGCCAAACTCTTGAGTAGGGTCAAGAACAAGTAAAACCACGCCCTGCACCAACTTTAAATCATTTGGGGATAAAACCTGCACATATATTGGACTTGGAGTAGCCAACAACATACAGATCCCATGCCAAAATAAGCTTCACAAGTATGCAAAAAAAAAGACTAGATCAAGCGAAACCGAGCCCCAATAGAGGCTAAAATCAAGCCCAGCAAAAACCAAAAACCGTGTCATCCGGTGGCTAAAACAAATCCACCTCAACCTATGTTTCATATGAGAAGAATAACGTGAAGTAGAGAAGCATGCATAAACCTCAAAGTTAACATTTCAAGGCCTCCAAAAATTCTTTTTTTTTCAACCAATACTTGAACAAGAAAGAACAGTGATAAATCAAACACCAAGCCTTCAAAATAAGTTCCGAGGGACTTTCAAAATAAATCTTTTCATACTCCATATAGATTTGGAACAAATGAGGCAACCACAAGAGCTAAAACCAAGCCCCACATGCGTGAATGACCAAATAAACTTTCCAATGTCTCATGCTAGATAAGAATAAATGAAAAACTTCATGATACATATCCTAACATGCTTACAAGAGGAGCTAACATTGTCTCAATCTCAAAGTCATGTTTCTTTCAACCCTCCTAAATGCTTCCAATAGAAATATGCTACAATAAATAGAAATATGTCATAGTTTCACCACTTTAAACAAGTAATCAACTCTAACTCCTAGAACATGCTCACATTTTCATTTCTAGATGCTTGAGTACCAAGTATTTCAAAAAAAACATAAGTATAATATCATGTAAGCATGCTGTATCGTCCAATGCACTAAGCTAAGGGGCTCGGCAGTGAGAAAACCGAAGAAAGACAAGACAGAGGGGGGAGAAAGTACCTCCCTGAAGCAAAGAAAAGCCACACAGAAATTTTCAAAGCACTCCTCCACTTCAATCTTTCCTCAAACAATAAGAGAAAACCAACCCAAGTACAACAGATTAAAGAAGTAAGTGAGAGAAGAAAATGACAGAGTTTTCCCCCCTCTAAGAGATTTTTTTGCCCCTTGAAACGCACCAACGAAAGCCTCATATAGACCAGAGAACAGGAGAAGGAATGATTAGGAGATCGTATACGATTCAAATGATCGTGTTGGCATCAATTTTTTGATGTCATAAGTATAAAGTGTCCACCTGTGATCGACGAAAATTTATTATCGCGCGCCATGCACGAATTTGGCGCAAATTGACCTGAGCATGGCTCAAATTGCGCAAATTGACCTGAGCACCAGCGAGCTTGTTCAGATTTCCCCAAACGACAAAACAGATCGCATGAGTGAGTTCAGAACGTCAATTCCACTTGGAAAAGACGCTCGTTGCACCACAGTTTCGCGTGCGGGCTTAAAATGTGCAGATTATCATTTTGACTCAAATTGCTGAAAAAGTGGTCCGAATGACCCCAAACGATAAAACGGGCCACACCAGTGTGTCTGGAACGTCGATTTTACCTAAGGGAGATGTTCATTTTATCGCGATGACGTGTTCGGCAAAAAAAAGATGCGGAGTTATAATAATAATAATAATAATAATATTATTATTATTATTATTATTATAAAAAATACATTTTTCTCTCAAAAAAAGTTACACACGCCTCACCCTCTCCCATGAAGCTTGAGTTTCTCTCTCATGAGAAAAGAACAAAATAAATTACAATATATATATATATAGGGAGAAACGACGCATCTGACGCTCTCTCCTTTGGATCGTGACACAACCGACTCCTCCCTGGCGATACCTCGCCTCTTCGTGAAACCGCACGCCGGACAGCTGCTCTTCGCCCTTTGCTCGCCGGCCGGAGTGCCTCGTCGCCGTCAGATCCCGCCTCCACTCCCCGGAAAAGGTAGTTGAATCTCCCTCGCCCATGGTCATTCTTCCTCCTCGCCGGCCATATGTGCTTCTAGACTGTCAAAACCATGGCGTCCTCCGCCGGTGTTCCTCCCTCACCGATTTATTCCCCTTTTGTCCGGCCACCGCGGGCTTCCTCTTTCTCATTCGCTGGATCTCTTCCTCGTCGCTGGCCTTGTGATTCACAGGTGTCATATTTTCGCTAAAAAAAAACAGCAAGGAGAATAACATATTTTGGGCTCTCCTTCATGTTTCCTTCGCTCTCAGTGTGCACCACCGGCGAGCTAACTCCTTCACCTCGCCATTTTACCTTCCCGGCAGTCGAATACTTCACCGGAGCATTTCGACGTCGCCGGACAGCGAGCGTTGTCGCTGTTCGAGGAGGCGCAGACGTCTTTTACCTCTTGGGTTCCCC